AACCCAGACAATGATTGGTATAGTTTGATTACTATCCCTATTAATCATCATTAGTTCATCTGCCAAATTTGATTTATATAACAAATTACTTTTTTTTACAAAGTAATTTCTCAGCAAGCACTTAACATGGAGTTTAACCCCCACTTGCATGTTTGTAAATGTCATTGAGTCCATATAGATTAAGAGAGGGCATTGGAGGCAGACCTGCCAACCAACAACACTACAGCCCCACTATGTAAACAGAGATCTGCATGAAAGGCTGCGAGGGGGCCCATGCATGCCTGTGGGAGCGCTTCATGGTTTATGCTTGAAAAAGAGAATCTTCCTACTAATCTGGGGCTTGGTGAGGAATTCCCCCTGCATAGAGGGCCAGGCCATTCGGGAAAGCTGGCTATTTGCTGGATCTACTTGGTGATGCATGAACATTGAACTACAGTATGGAGTATAGAATAACTATGACATGTAACATGATATGGTGGCTCATTGTATTAATTATGGTAAATGTCTACTTTAGCTTCTCATATGTTAAATCTTAATCAAATCAACATTAAACATCTACATTCAGAATTAGAAATGTTACCTTGTCATGTTAAGCAGCACAACTTGCTCACTGTTTCCCATTGTGAGCAACTACTGCCCCCTAGTGCTCAGAAATGGAAGTGACTGGTAATTTCTATGAAAATCATCCTCAAATCAAGTTTTATTGGTCACATACACATATTTAGCAGATGTTATTGCGGGTGTAGTGAAATGCTTGTGTTTCTAGCTCCAACAGTGCAGTAATATCTAACGATACACATAAAAGTAAAATAATGGAATTAAGAAATATATCAATATTAGGACGAGCAATGTCGGAGTGGCATAGACTAAAATACAGTAGAATAAAATAGAATACAGTATATACATATGAGAAGAGTAAAGCAAAAATATGTAAACATTAAAGTGGCCAGTGATTCCAAATCTATGTATATAGGGCAGCAGCCCCTAAGGTGCAGGGTTATGTAACCGGGTGGAAGCCGCCTACTGATGGCTATTTAACAGTCTGATGACCTTGAGATAGAAGCTGTTTTTCAGTCTCTCTGTCCCAGCTTTGATGCACCTGTACTGCCATCGCCTTCTGGATGATAGCGGGGTGAACAGGCAGTGGCTCAGGTGGTAGTTGTTCTTGATTATCTTTTTGGCCTTCCTGTGACATCAGGTGCTGTAGGTGTCCTGGAGGGCAGGTAGTTTGCCCCCGGTGATGCATTGGGCAGACCGCACCACCCTCTGGAGAGCCTTGCGGTTGCGGGCGGTGCAGTTGCCGTACCAGGCGGTAAAACAGCCCGACAGGATGCTCTTAATTGTGCATCTGTATAAGTTTGTGAGGGTTTTAGGTGCCAAGCCAAATTTATTCAGCCTGTCTGTGTGGGTGGACCATTTCAGATCGTCAGTGATGTGTACGCCGAGGAACTTGAAGCTTTCCACCTTCTCCACTGCGGTCCCGTCGATGTGGATAGGGGCGTGCTCCCTCTGCTGTTTCCTGAAGTCCACGATCAGCTCCTTTGATTTGTTGACGTTAAGTGAGAGGTTATTTTCCTGGCACCACACTCCCAGGGCCCTCACCTCCTCCCTGTAGGCTGTCTCGTCATTGTTGGTAATCAGGACTACTACTGTTGTGTCGTCTGCAAACTTGTTTGTTGAGTTGGAGGCGTGCGTGGCCACGCAGTCAAGGGTGAACAGGGAGGGGGCTGAGCACACACCCTTGTGGGGCCACTGTGTTGAGGATCAGCAAAGTGGAGGTGTTGTTTCCTACCTTCACCACCTGGGGGCGGCCCGTCAGGAAGTCCAGGACCCAGTTGCACCGGGCGGGGTTCAGACACAGGGCCCCGAGCTTAATGATGAGCTTGGAGGGTACTATAGTGTTGAATGCTGAGCTATAGTCAATGAACAGCATTCTTACATAGTTATTCCTCTTGTCCAGATGGGATAGGGCAGTGCGATGGCGATTGCATTGTCTGTGGATCTATTGGGGCGGTAAGCAAATTGAAGTGGGTCTAGGGTGTCAGGTAAGGTAGAGGTGATATGATCATTAACTAGCCTCTCAAAGCACTTCATGATGACAGAAGTGAGTGGGCCTCATCTGAGGGTTGTGTGCTCGACTACCCCCAACACTACATATTTTTGTTGTGGTACCGGATGATTCTATTTGGCAACTAATCATCAAGCCTTTGACAAGTTGAATCGGGTGTTTTTGTCCGGGGCTACAACAAAAAAACGTGTGCTGTTGGGAAACACTGGTTTAATGGACCCATCTGTTTGTGGCATACGAAAGGCAGTGGATGCCAATTCTAGAAGCAGGTCACCTGAGAGAACATGGCTAGAACCATTCCCATCCACCAGGCCTGTTCCCCAGCTAGCTGTTTGCATGGAGTCCAGTAATCCATGACTAATCATGCACAATAGAACGATCAGGGTATTAAATCAGCGTGATTTAATGTTCAGCGCTCCATGTTGTGCACCAATGTGTAAGGGCTGGACAGGGCGCACACCCTGAACAAATAGCTCAATACATCACAGAGAATAGTGATTGTCTGCTTCTATCTACAGTGCCTTCAGAAAGTATTCACACCCCTTGACTTTTTGTTGTGTTACAGCCTGAATTTAAAATGGATTAAGTTGAGATTGTCACTGGCCTACACACAATACCCCATAATGTCAAAGTGGAATATATTTTATTTTTTACAAATTAATAAAAAATGAAAAGCTGAAATGTCTTGAGTCAACAAGTATTCAACCCCTTTGTTATGACAAGCCTAAATAAGTTCAGGAGTAAAAATGTGCTTAACAAGTCACATAATAAGTTTGATGTTTGAATGACTACCTCATCTCTCTACCCCACACATACAATTATCTGTAAAGTCCCTCTGTCGAGCAATGAATTTCAAACAGATTAAACCACAAAGACCAGGGAGGTTTTCCAATGCCTCGCAAGAAGGGCACCTATTGGTAGATGGGTAAAAAAAAGCAGACATTGAATATTCCTTTAAGCATGGTGAAGTTATTCATTACACTTTGGATGGTGTATCAATACACCTAGTCACTACAAATTATACAGGCATCCTTCCTAACTCAGTTGCCGGAGAGGAGGGAAACCGTTCAGGGATTTCACCATGAGGCCATTAGGGACTTTAAAACAGTTAGAGTTTAATGGCTGTGATCGGAGAAAACTGAGGATGAATCATCAACGTTGTAGTTACTCCACAATACTAACCTAGATGACAGAGTGAAATGAATGATGCCTGTACAGAATACAAATATTCCAAAATATGCATCCTGTTTGCAATAAGACACTAAAGTAAAACTGCAAAAAATGTGAGAAAGAAATTAACTTCATGTCCAGAATACAAAGCGTTATGTTTGGGGCAAATCCAACACAACACATCCCTGAGTACCACTTCATAATTTCAAGCATGGTGGTGGCTGCATCATGTTATGAGTATGCTTGTCAACGGCAAGGACTAGGGAGTTTTTTTAGGATACAAATAAACAGAATATAGCTACGCACAGGCAAAATCATAGAGAAAAACCTGGTTCAGTCTGCTTTCCAACAGACACTGGCAGACAAATTCACCTTTCAGCAGGGCAATAACCTAAAACACAAGGCCAAATATACACTGGAGTTGGTTACCAAAACGAAATTGAATGTTCCTGAGTGGCCTAGTTAGTTTTAAATCCGCTTCAAAATCTATGGCAAGACTTTTAATTGGCTGTCTAGCAATGATCAACTTGACAGAGCTTAAAGAATTTTTAAAAGAATGTGCAAATATTGTACAATCCAGGTGTGCAAAGCTCTTGGACTTACCCAGAAAGACTCACAGCTGTAATCACTGCCAATGGTGATTCTAACGTATTGATTCAGGGGTGTCAATACTGTAAATGAGATATTTCTGTATTTCATTTTCAATAAATGTGAAAATGTTTCTAAAAACATGTTTTCACTTTGTCATTATGGGGTATTGTGTGTGGATTGGTGAGAGAAAAATGTTTTTAATTTAGGCTGTAGAATAAGTCAAGGGGTATGAATACTTTCTGAAGACACTGTATATCTACACACTAGCACTCTGCTGCTGTACATGATACATGTGGTCCTCTGTAGCTCAATTGGTAGAGCATGGCGCTTGTAACGCCAGGGTAGTGGGTTCGATCCCCGGGACCACCCATATGTAAAAATGTATGCACACATGGCTGTAAGTCGCTTTGGATAAAAGCGTCTGCTAAATGGCATATTATATTACACTGAGTATACAAAACATTAAGAACACCTGCTCTTTCCATGACAGACTGACCAGGTGAATCCAGGTAACAGCAATGATCCATTATTGATCCACTTCAATGAGTGTAGATGAAGGGGAGGAGACAGGTTAAATAAGCATTTTTAAGCCTTGAGACATGGATTGTGTATGTGTGCCATTCAGAGGGTGAATGGGCAAGACAAAATATTTAAGTGCCTTTAAACAGGGTATGGTAGTAGGTGCCAGGAACACCGGTTTGTGTCAAGAACTGCAACGCTGTTGGGTTTTTCACGTTCAACAATTTCCTGTGTGTATCAAGAGTGGTCCACCACCCGAAGGACATCCAGCCAACTTGACACAACTGTGGGAAGCATTGGAGACAACATGGCCAGCATCCCTCTTGAACGCTTTCGACACCTTGTAGAGTCCATGGCCAGAAAAATGTAGGCTGTTCTGAGGGCAAAAGGGGGGTGCAACTCAATATTAGGAAGGTGTTCCTAATGTTTGGTAGTCTATTTGACATTCTATAATGAGCTAAAATCATTAACAAATGTCAGAATTCCTTTATTTCATGAACTTTTATTAAAAATGAATCATCCCACAAATGTGTTCCAACAGTTAAATACTGCAATGAGAAAAACATGTTCTGTAGGATAATGTTTTATTTTCCTTTTCAACGGTAGACTCAGCGAAATTACTTTGCCACGATCAGCACCGCAGGAATTGCGATGAGCGAGATGCAAGACTTCGCTCAAACAGTCACACACAGTATCTGCACGTGTAGGAGTTTGCTTCTCGCTGTTAGAGAGCGGTAGGTACGGGACCAAAACAGCTAAGAAGTTAGCCTCACGCTTCAACACTTCCAGTTGCTGCGGAAATTTATCCACTATGCTGTTTGTTTACTTTGTGCACCTAAGTCATATCGCGGAGTCTACCTCTAATTAGCTGGGAATTGTTTTAGAATCATGGTGCAATGAGTATCACAGTCTGATAAAACTCATAGTCCAAACTAAGACAACATGGATATATCGAGGAAGGATTTTCAAATGAGTTCTTTCAATATTAGTGCTCTCCCCTGGGGTCCATCCCATTTAAATTCCCGTCAGGTGAACTGTACATGACATTTCTCCTTAGGAGTGCAATTCAATTATTTGTATAACACAACCCTGACAACCACATATCCACAGACACTCACTCATTCACTCAGACAGCTCTGCGAATGTGAAGGATGCGGATGTCAGGACTGTTATACTCTGGGTCCTGCTTGTCCAAAGGGATCTCCGCAGACTGGAAGTCTTGTAGCAGCAACTGATTGGACAACAGAACAGAGGAACAGCACGTCATTGAAGAGGAAGATGGTCTCCACAAGATACATGAAAAGCTTACATATAACAGCTAACTACATTTCCTTACACAACAGTATATATGGTAACGAGGACAGACAGAATTCTCACCTCAAAAAATTGCTTCTCCACTTTGGGGTTGACACCCACTGTGCGTTGTTCATAGCAGCATATGATGCTGGTCTCAGGTCCAACCAGGTGTTTCATGGTTTCCACCAGTGGCTTCACAGACTAAGTACAACAGACGGTAAACAGTTAAACAACAAAGTAATTTTTCGCCCATGTATTGAACTAAAAGTAACACTATCAATAGTGTTCTATTACTGAATGTGTTGGGCAGTTGTATAGGCAATAAAAAGCAAGTCCCACAAAAACTGAGCCACGGTATTACCCCCCCAAATATTCAAATTGCACAAATTCAGTATCACAACAGTAAATGAGAAAGTACAACACCTGTTCATAATAGATACAGTCCGCCATCAGGATAAAATGTGGGTGTGGTAGAAACTCTGACACATTTTCACCCCTTTAAAGATAAGAGAATTCCACATTTGAGACATGAACTAGGCTAGATCACATGTCCCATCTATAGAAAATCCATTGTTTGCTTACACATTATAGCCTACTGTGATGACTAGTTGTAGCTTGCCTTGTCTTAGGTAATACAATCTCTATATTAACTAACAAGTACTGGGATAAGTACAGTACAGACCATTTTAGTACCTTGGCTGTGATGGATCCACTGCTGACAAGTGCCTGGTTGTCTTGGATATTGACTTGGAGTAGAGACTGCAGGTCCTCGAGGTCTGTCACAGTAACCTGAGCTCTACAGGACAGACAGAGAGATGGAGGAAGAGATTATGTTAATTATGATTGAAATTATTTCATCAGACCATTCGATAGCTAGTTATGTATATACAGTTCAGCTGGACAGAAACATTATAGTTAACTAACGTTAGGTAGTTGACTTTAGTTGGAAGTTAAACAAATAGTTGGTCAACTATTTATATAGATAAAAGCTCACAATAACATTTAGTAGCTACTTAACATTACTCACCCCAAAGATGCTGCCATAAGGCCCACTACTCCTGTTCCTGCTCCTAACTCAATAATTTTTTTGTTAGCCCACATGTTCACACCCGAGCCAGGATCATAAAACGGTTTAGTTTCTAAATATTTTGACAGCACGATTGCTGCATCCCACACCACACAGCCCACGTCTCCTTTAAAGCACTGTTTGATTTTCAAGACAGATCCGTCGTTTTTCTCAACGTCTCTTATAAAATAATTATCGTGTTGTAATGTTTGCTCCGCCATCTTGTTCTCTGCAGTTGTTTCCCGCTTCCTCATTACGTACACTGTGACTTGTAGCACCGCCCACCGGGTGGTTTTAGTGCTCCTTGCTCCCTTACCTTCTTGGAAGTTGGTAGGTTGCTTGGTAGTGGTACCCTCCTTGGCAACAAACTTGGCAACCAGATGGTGATGATGATGATGATGATGAAACATAATAATAATATGCCATTTAGCAGACGCTTTTATCCAAAGCGATTTACAGTCGTGATGATGTGTGGACAGGACAAACATGGCCCTGGCAAATCATTTTAATGTTTGCTTTGCCTTCGCGATGACAAACGCAGCATCGTTCGTGGGTGAACTTTGCCTGGCATTGTATGGGGCCAATTTGACGCCATATGTATTGAATTTTACATGATATTTTCGAGGAAGGTTTAAATAATGGATGTTTGGAGTGACTGTTCATCTTAACCCAATCAATGAACATAATATACAGGAATGTTTTCTATTGGCTACTTAACCAGACGGCCTGACGTTACCAATACGCGCCAAATCTTCCCCCGCAGTGGCCCATGTTCTTAACATGGCTGACCAGTTACCAACACTTAGGCCGAACTTTGGGCAACAGGTAATTAATATGTTTACCTAAGTAGTTACATGGTTGGCTGGCTTTGCTGTCAGGAGAGAGAGAGAGAGAGAGAGAGAGAGAGAGAGAGAGAGAGAGAGAGAGAGAGAGAGAGAGAGAGAGAGAGAGAGAGAGAGAGAGAGAGAGAGAGAGAGAGAGAGAGAGAGAGAGAGAGAGACTGATACCAGCTGGTTGGTTGACATAATTTAAAATTACAATTTCTATATGTTCTCACAGGCGATGGGGAGGCCAAGCTCCTGTACAGCCTACAGTGCGTGAAGCTGTGATGGATTTCATTTACACTATCTGACCCCCAAGTGTGTTTGGTGGAAACACCACTGTTAGGAACATTTGCATATTTTCTTTATGCAGACTTTAGAATATTCGCATGAAAATCGGTCGCCAATTGGATGGAAACCTAGCTATAGAATCCAATGTCAATTCAATCTCACATGCATTGAAGAAAACTGTTTAGAAAAAGTTAAATTCAACAGGAGACGGTGAAGTAGAAATGCAAAGTGCCTTAGAATACTTTGACCAGTTACATTCCTTATGCTCAGAAAGGTTACAATAATAGTAATGAGTTGTGTAGGACAGAGGACTGGGTATGATGTTGAATGTTTCATTATGTTGCTTCAAATGTTCTCTCATTTTAGTCATTTAGCAGACGCTCTTATCCAGAGCGACTTACAGTTAGTGAGTGCATACATTATTATTTTTTTCATTCTGTCCCCCCATGGGCAACGAACCCACAACTCTGGCATTGCAAACTCCATGCTCTACCAACTGAGCTACATCCCTGCCGGCCATTCCCTCCCCTACCCTGGATGACACTAGGCCAATTGTGCGCCGCCCCATGGGTCTCCCGGTTGTGGCCGGCTACGACAGAGCCTGGATTCGAACCAGGATCTCTAGTGGCACAGCTAGCACTGCAATGCATTGCCTTAGACCACTGCGCCACTCGGTTTGAACAGTTATGGCGGGACGTGTGGGTGGCCGTGTCAAACATATTTGACAATGTCCTACACAGTTTGGAAGATGAGGGCTCCCTTGACCTGTCAAACAGCCTTCACCTATTCTGTGCGCACTATGTATTCCTCCCGTGCCTCCAAGCAGACCTAGACACCTTTACCAATGAATGGGATAAACATTCTCTGCACACCAGGCAAAATCTGACCCCCAACCAGCTATGGGAAATGGGACAAGCACAGTATCCTGTCACCTTCCCTGGCAATGTGGAGGTATAGATTTAAAGGAGCCACTATGAAAATATAATTAGGTCCTTTTTTTTTTGGAGTGCCCGCTGACAGAGCAGGATATGACACTGCTCAGAGCAGCCATCGACCCAACCTCACCATCTCGAGACTATGGACAAGATATTTATGCATCTGTTTTGAACTACAGTACCAGTCAAAGGTTTGGACACACCTACTCATTCAAGGGTTTTCCTTTATTTTTACAATTTTCTACATTGTAGAATAATAGTGAAGACATTAAAACTATGAAATAACACAATGCAATTGAGCCAATCAATTGTGTTGTGACAAGGTAGGGGGGGTATACAGAAGATAGCCCTATTTGGTAAAATACCAAGTCCATATTATGGCAAGAACAGCTCAAATAAGCAAAGAGAAACGACAGTCCATCATTACTTTAAGACATGAAGGTCAGTCAAATTTCAAGAACTTTCAAAGTTTCTTCAAGTGCAGTCGCAAAAACCATCAAGCGCTATGATGAAACTGGCTCTCATGAGGACCATCACAGGAATGGAAGACCCAGAGTTACCTCTGCTGCAGAGGATACGTTCATTAGAGTTACCAGCCTCAGAAATTGTAGCCCAAATAAATGCTTCACAGAGTTCAAGTAACAGACACATCTCAACATCAACTGTTCAGAGGGGACTGTGTGAATCCGGCCTTCATGGTCGAATTGCTGCTAAGAAACGACTACCAAAGGACACCAATAAGAAGAAGAGACCTGCTTGGACCAAGAAACACAAGCAATGGACATTAGACTGGTGGAAATGTGTCCTTTGGTCTGGAGTCCAAATTGGAGATTTTTGGTTCCAACCGTCGTGTCTTTGTGAGACGCGGTGTGGGTGAACGGATGATCTCCACATCTGTATTTCCCACCGTAAAGCATGGAGGAGGTGGTGTTATGGTGCTTTGCTGGTGACACTGTCTGTGATGGCTACCACGGCGATACGCCATCCCATCTGGTTTGGGCTTAGTGGGACTATCATTTGTTTTTAAACAGGACAGTGGCCCAACACACCTCCAGGCTGTGTAAGGGCTATTTTACCAAGAAGGAGAGTGATGGAGTGCTGCATCAGATGACCTGGCCTCCACAATCCCCCGACCTCAACCAAATTGAGATGGTTTGGGATGAGTCGGACCGCAGAGTGAAGGAAAAGCAGCCAACAAGTGCTCAGCATATGTGGGAACTCCTTCAAGACTTGGAAAAGCATTCCAGGTGAAGCTGCTTGAGAGAATGCCAAGAGTGTGCAAAGCTGTCACCAAGGCAAAGGGTGGCTATTTGAAGACTCTCAAATATAAAATATATTTTGATTTGTTGAACACTTTTGTTTACTACATGATTTCATATTTGTTATTTCATAGTTTGTCTTCACTATTATTCTACAATGTAAAAAATTGTAAAAATAAAGAAAACCCTTGAATGAGTATGTGTGTCCCAACTTTTAACTGGTAGTGTATGAGCTGCTACTTATGGCTGAATTATCCTTATACCTCTGCTTGATACTGTCGCAAGGAATAACTGTCTAGTCCAGTAATTCTAAATTGCTGCAATGTTATGTAATGTGGTTGCAGCAAGAGACCAATTGGCTGATTTTGATTGGTTACTAATGTTGTGGAACATTTTATCCAAAGATTAAGGCAGAGACTTTTTAATTGTATAATGGAAAAAATCTTTAATCAAGCAGCTGAAGGGGAGATCTGATTTCACAGGGAAGAACTCGAAGAGTAAATGGTTACATGTTCCTTATACAGTGGGGGAAAAAAGTATTTAGTCAGCCACCAATTGTGCAAGTTCTCCCACTTAAAAAGATGAGAGAGGCCTGTAATTTTCATCATAGGTACACGTCAACTATGACAGACAAAACGAGAATTTTTTTCTCCAGAAAATCACATTATAGGATTTTTAATGAATTTATTTGCAAATGATGGTGGAAAATAAGTATTGGGTCAATAACAAAAGTTTCTCAATACTTTGTTATATACACTTTGTTGGCAATGACACAGGTTAAACGTTTTCTGTAAGTCTTCACAAGGTTTTCACACACTGTTGCTGGTATTTTGGCCCATTCCTCCATGCAGATCTCCTCTAGAGCAGTGATGTTTTGGGGCTGTCGCTGGGCAACACAGACTTTCAACTTCCTCCAAAGATTTTCTATGGGGTTGAGATCTGGAGACTGGCTAGGCCACTCCAGGACCTTGAAATGCTTCTTACGAAGCCACTCCTTCGTTGCCCGGGTGGTGTGTTTGGGATCATTGTCATGCTGAAAGACCCAGCCACGTTTCATCTTCAATGCCCTTGCTGATGGAAGGAGGTTTTCACTCAAAATCTCACGATACATGGCCCCATTCATTCTTTCCTTTACACGGATCAGTCGTCCTGGTCCCTTTGCATAAAAACAGCCCCAAAGCATGATGTTTCCACCCCCATGCTTCACAGTAGGTATGGTGTTCTTTGGATGCAACTCAGCATTCTTTGTCCTCCAAACACGACGAGTTGAGTTTTTACCAAAAAGTTCTATTTTGGTTTCATCTGACCATATGACATTCTCCCAATCCTCTTCTGGATCATCCAAATGCACTCTAGCAAACTTCAGACGGGCCTGGACATGTACTGGCTTAAGCAGGGGGACACGTCTGGCACTGCAGGATTTGAGTCCCTGGCGGCGTAGTGTGTTACTGATGGTAGGCTTTGTTACTTTGGTCCCAGCTCTCTGCAGGTCATTCACTAGGTCCCCCCGTGTGGTTCTGGGATTTTTGCTCACCGTTCTTGTGATCATTTTGACCCCACGGGGTGAGATCTTGCGTGGAGCCCCAGATCGAGGGAGATTATCAGTGGTCTTGTATGTCTTCCATTTCCTAATAATTGCTCCCACAGTTGATTTCTTCAAACCAAGCTGCTTACCTATTGCAGATTCAGTCTTCCCAGCCTGGTGCAGGTCTACAATTTTGTTTCTGGTGTCCTTTGACAGCTCTTTGGTCTTGGCCATAGTGGAGTTTGGAGTGTGACTGTTTGAGGTTGTGGACAGGTGTCTTTTATACTGATAACAAGTTCAAACAGGTGCCATTAATACAGGTAACGAGTGGAGGACAGGGGAGCCTCTTAAAGAAGAAGTTACAGGTCTGTGATAGCCAGAAATCTTGCTTGTTTGTAGGTGACCAAATACTTATTTTCCAC